GTTAGCTGTGGCATCTTCAACTTTCGGGGTAAAGGTTCAGCAAGAATATCCTCAGTAAAGGGAGAATGACATTTTGTGGAATATTCTTCTATGCTTCCTTTATTTTTAGCTTCAAAGTCAGCGATGAGTTTCTTTAAGGCGCTCATTTCAGGTCCTGGTCATTCTATAGGCTCAGGTCGTTCTACTGAGCATCTAGCATAGGATTTTTCATGCCTGCTTGGAGGTGTGAGGGAATGTTGAAAGTCCAATCTATTAAACACACTGTTAGTTTTCCTTGTTGTTGGTCTTACGGTTATTGGAAAACTTCTGATTCCTTCGGTTTAGCTTTTGGAATATTCTCCTCCTGGGAACTGGAAGGTCCTTCTGGTCGACGGTTGTCTAGCTTTATCCCTTTGTGGGGATTCGACCTCGGTATCCTATGGTGGAGCAGGAACCTGACTCTGCTCCAGCCTGTTGACAACATTCGCTAGCTTTTCAATGGTTTCTCTCATTGCGATCATCTGAGGATCAATGGTGTCCGTTTGACCTCGTCTTCGCCTTGTACTTTGTTGGTAGCTGGTATGTTCAGGATGAGTATGGGATTGATTCTCAGATGCTTACGATTCTTCCATCACAATATTTCCTTCTTGAATTTCGTGAAGAAAAGGCGTTCCTTTTTTCAAGTTGGAGGCCCTCCTTCTAGCGCTAAACTGTTGATGTTGAAATTTGCATGAACAAATTTCAAGCCAACTTAATGGAAAATAAAGTTTTTACCAATGAGAAAGGATCGAATATTCCTATATTACAACAACAGTCAATGTTGTTTTTCCCATGACATATGAGATATTTGAAATATGATTCATAGATCTTTAGAGATATCTTCTTGTTCCTTCAAAGTAAGTCCTCATTCCCTATTTATAGTAAAAAGTATGCATGTATCCGGCTTCCCATGTCTTGTCACTGTAATCCCGAGCTGAAGAAGTACAATTGTTGCCCCAATTGGATTGGCAGACAAGCTCGGAATGTCAGGTCATCATGAATTAATCATGCAGGTGGTCCCCAGTAATTAATGAATTACTTAGGGAAGAGAGCCTAATCACTTGATTGGTAGATTCTACAGATGCAGACGTCGGAACTTTACATATGCACTCAGCTGATTGGATATCTATATATTTCGTTAGTGATCTTCAATCATCATGTTTCTTTCAATCTCGATAAACTATATAAACTTCTCGTACAAGCAACAATAGCCGACCTGACTTCAGTGACCGACCTGGGATAACAATTACCGAATGGACCTCACATTAGGACCTATTCAGCTTCTATAGTAATCCGAACTCAACCGACCTCGGAGGTCGGAGACCAACACATAATGTCTCTATCTTTTACCGTTATTGCGAAAAATGTCCCCACCTTTCATTTTTTTTTACATTTTCACCATTAATTACACATTTGATTATGCAAACCATCATTTCCATCCAAATTTTCAATAAGAAACTGTGAAATAATGAATATACCCTCATATTTAAATATTTTTTTTAATTTCTAATTCTTTAATAATTTATTTGGGATTCACTTGTATTTTTTATTTTTTTTTAATTTTTAAATAAATTTAACTAGACTTGTTTGCAATTTTTAAAAAAATTAGAATTATGATTGCAATTAATTCTTTAGAATTTTATTTAAATAGGAAGGTATATTCGTCATTTCACAGGTTTTATTGAGAAATTGGATGTAAATTGATAGAAATGATGGTTTGAGCAATATAATGTGTAATTAAGGGTGAAAATGTCAAAAAAATAAAAATAAAATGAAAGGTATGCATGTTTTTCGCAATAACGATGAAAGATAGGAACACTATGTACTAATTACCCTTTTAATAATTTATTTGTGACTTAGTTACGCATTTTGAAAAAAAAAATTTGGGATTGTAATTGCAATTACTTTTTCCTTTTTCTTTTTTGTTTTATTTAAAGAAGAGTATATTCGTTATTTCATAATTTTTAATTGAAAAAATATGTGAAAACAATATTTTGCGCAATGAAATGTGGAAATAAAAGTGAAAAAAATGAAAGGTATGGACGTTTTTCACAAAAGCAATGAAATGTGGGGACGTTATGTGCTAATTACCCTTATTTAAAACTATCAATTACAATTCGTCAAGAAGAATCATGTTCATTAATAGGATGAATTCGCGGTTAACTATATTTAGGGTTGGCCCTGTGGCGAGGCAAATGAGGCCCACCTCAGGCCCAAAATTGGAGAGGGCCTATTTTTGGCCACTTTTTTTATTTTTTATTTTTTTTATATTTAAGGAAGAAAAGGGGCAATCTATTTTCATTCATACCTCTCGCTCGACGTCGCCACCGACAACTCCTCCAACTCCAATCGGACCGACGACCAGGCTACGACGTCATTTCCTTAGGTGGCTTCTTCTTCTTCTTCTTCCCTTCCCTTCCCTTCCCTTCACCGTTTCTTTCACAAATTTTCAAATCATAACAAGAGAGAACAAATCCGTCAATATGAAATTTGTTCTGAATGCTAATGTTTTTGAGAATAGGGAAAATAACTTATTCGCTTCAACCTCGCTTATTCTACTCAGTAACTTATATTCTTCTAGTTTTTTCTACTACAATTTCCTTTATTTCAATTTCTCGATTCAGTAATTTTTGTTTTATCGAAGTTCGAAATTCAGAGGCTAGTAATTTATAGTTTTGAAAAAGTTTAACTTGAAACAAACATTTGATGTTATCCATTGGGATTTATGAGTTTAGCTTTCTACTAAGCTTTCAGAGACCTTTGTTGGTCTGTGCCTTTACTCCGAGCCATTGACATGTGTCCTCATCCAATGGGAAATCTTCTAGATGGTGATTTTAATAATTTATTTGTGACTTAATTGCGCATTTTGAAAAAAAAAATTTGGGATTGTAATTGCAATTACTTTTTTCTTTTTCTTTTTTGTTTTATTTAAAGAAGAGTATATTCGTCATTTCATAATTTTTAATTGAAAAAATATGTGAAAATAACATTTTGCGCAATGAAATGTGGAAATAAGAGTGAAAAAAATGAAAGGTATGGACGTTTTTCACAAAAGCAATGAAATGTGGGGACGTTATGTGCTAATTACCCTTATTTAAAACTATCAATTACAATTCGTCATGAAGAATCATGTTCATTAATAGGATGAAGTCGCGGTTAACTATATTTAGGGTTGGCCCTGTGGCGAGGCAAATAAGGCCCACCTCAGGCCCAAAATTGGAGAGGGCCTATTTTTGGCCACTTTTTTTAATTTTTTTATATTTAAGGAAGAAAAGGGGCAGTCTATTTTCATTCATACCTCTCGCTCGACGTCGCCACCGACGATTCCTCCAACTCCAATCGGACTGATGACCAGGCGACGACGTCATTTCCTTAGGTGGCTTCTTCTTCTTCTTCCCTTCCCTTCACTCTTTGTTTCTTTCACAAATCCGTCAATATGAAATTTGTTCTGATTGCTAATGTTTTTTAGAATGGGGGAAAAAACTTATTCGCTTCAATCTCACTTTTTCTAGTCAATAACTTATATTCTTCTAGTTTTTTCTACTACAATTTCCTTTATTTCAATTTCTCGATTCAATAAATTTTTTTTTATCGAAGTTCGAAATTCAGAGGCTAGTAATTTATAGTTTTGAAAAAGTTTCACTTGAAACAAACATTTGATGTTATCCATTGGAGTTTATGAGTTTAGCTTTCTACTAAGCTTCTAAAGACCTTTGCTGGTTTGTACCTTTACTCCGAGCCATTGACATGTGTCATTATCCAATGGGAAATCTTCTAGATGGTGGTATTCCATTTTGAGCTTGATTATTAGGAGATTGTCCTACTTGTGCATTGAAGGAAGCATGGGCAAATTGTTATATTTAAGTGTTTCATGTATGATATTGATATTTCTTCCTGATCTATGCCTTTATTCTGAGCGAGACCCCATGGGAAAGCTTCTAGATGGTGGTTTTTTATTAAAAAAATAGCATTTTCTCGATTTTTAGTAATAATTGAGATCATTATATATAAACGTGCTTTAGAATTCATTGTGTTAATGTTGTGATAATATTGTGTCCTTCAATAAGTGACCCATATGCACAATAGCTGGTAGCTCTAAACATATTATGAATTGTTTTGCAGGAGAAGCATGAAGTTATTATTGAAAATATGAGTAGAAACAAGTGGAAATGTATTACCAATGTGGAAGGCCTAGAGCTTTTAGGTAAGAAATGTGTTGCATTTGATTCTGAATTTCATATATTATGTTTTTGATATAGTCTTCACATCCCAAATGATGGTGGTTGATGTTAAATATTTATTTTAGGCTTGTGAGGTGTGATGGTGGAATTCTTAAGGGTGTGATACTGTGATTTCATAATTTTCCTTGAAATTCTATTTCTTAGGTAAGCGATGACTTGCCCTAAATTGTTATTGAATATATTGGAAATAGTTGCGGCCTGGTCGGCTTATATAATTGCGGCCTAGTCGGCTTATATGATTGGTTATTATATGATCAATTGTACAGACGCACGTAGTAACTATATTGAAAACTTTAATTGTGAAATGATTGAGATATTTTGTAATTGTCTTTTAAGTTAATCATTGGACATTAGATATATATTCATACATTACGCCCAAGGTTAATCATTGAGATATTTGTTTGTTATTTTACTATTAAATTTTAAGTTAGTAATATGTTGCATAATACAGTGTTGGATTTTGCATTTATGTCGATTTTGGGGGGCATAATTTATGGAATTTGTCTCGGGCCACGAAAATCATGAAACCGGTCCTGACTATATTCCAATTATAAAAAAAAATTGAAAAATTTTTATTTTACTTAGAAATATCACATTGTTGTATTCGACCATTTAACATTTTTGCTCGGCTAAATGACTAATCATTATAAAGGAAAAAGTTTAAAATATATTTGCAAAATCCACTTAACTTTACCGGGCAGTATGAAAATATACATAAATATAGTGGCATAAAACTGAAAGATGAAACGAAATGAACTCCCTAGTTTTCCTCTTGTATTTCCCTCGCTCTTCTCTGTATATATATATATGAAAACTGAAAACAGAAAACCTGACTCTCTCTCTATACGTACACATAAGTACTTTCCCTCTCTACGCGGCGTGCGAAGAGTGCACCGCCTTCCTCTATCTTCGCCATTAAAGGTACGCTTCTGATTATTCTTCATCCACGCATCTTTGTTTATTACTTGATTCCCTATTTTCTCCGTTTATCCAACAACAAACCATAATTAGACTAATAACACTCTTTTTCTCTCCCTATTACTCGATTTTTAGTTCTAATAATAATTTTTGGTTATTTATTTTTTTCAAAGTGTAGTATTATTATTACTGTGAGAATCCTGGATTTGATTGTTATTATTATTATTTTTTTGCAAAATATATTTACAGTGAGATCTCCTGGGGTGAGTGCTGATTTATTTATTATCGTGGAGGAGAGAGGGAAAAAAATTGGGTTAGGGTTTTGATGCGCTGGTGTGGGTTGAGATGCGCAAGGTCAGTTCAGGTTACAGGTTCGGTTTGGGGATGGCCAATTCTGGTGCCAAGTTTGTGTCTGCGAATCTGAACAAGTCTTATGGACAGCAGCACCAGCCTTCTCATTATGCTCATCATTCAGCTTTTTGTGGTGGCAGTGGTTCTTATGAGCAGGGCAGCACTGGTTCTTATTTAATTTTGACTATTAAATAAATATTTAGAACTTATTTAATATATTCAAATATTCACCTAGACATTTACCTAGGTAAATGATTGTATAAACTTTTAAGCTTATTCAAACGTTTACCTAGTATAGTCAAATATTCATCGAGTAATATAGACATTTTGTTCGACTCCAACTTAACGATCAATACCTAGGACCTTATTGTAGTCGCGGAATGAACTTGTTGGAACTTACTGTGCTATCTACATGATATATTAACGTCGAACTTGACATACAATGATAAAAAGGAGTAAGTGCAAACGGCCCTAAACTTTGGGGAGTGAAATGCGATTTTGAATTTTTGGAACTAAATGCGTACAGGTGCTAAAGATTGGGGACGAAATGTCCAATTTTGTTGATATTTCTTACATTATGCCCGCAGGTTCATAGCGTTGATACTATTATATCCGTTAGGAGCATCGGTAAGTTGGGCTGCATATGAGTAGAAGTTTACGTTTTTCTACGATTTTACAGAAGCCAAACAAGGCGCCAGAATACATTTGAAAATCGGATGATTTCAAAGATACCCACAAATCTTCCACCTCATTTGAATATCAAATTTATCAAGAATTATTTGAATTCTGGTGATTTGAAACGTGCTCGCCAACTGTTCGATAAAATAGCCGAACCGGATATTCAATTGTGGACATTGTTGATCACGGCTTATACGAAGCAGGGTCATCCAAAAGAAGCAATAAAACTTTATGCGGAATTCAAAAATAGCGGAAAAGTTAATCCCGATGAGGTGGCTCTTTTGTCTGTTGCCAAGGCTTGTGCTAAATCTGGGGATGTTTTAAAGGCAAAAGACATCCATGAGGATGCCATCAAATATGGGTTTGGTTCCGATTTGCTTCTTGGGAATGCGATGATTGATATGTATGGGAAATGCAACTACATTGAAGGTGCGAAGATAGTTTTTGATGATTTGAGAGTGAAGGATGTGATTTCTTGGACATCATTATGCTCATGTTATGTCAATTGTGGGCTCCCGGGAGATGCTCTTTGGGCAATTCGTGCAATGTGTCTGAGTGGAACAATGCCTAATGCTATGACTTTATCTTCTATACTTCCCGCTTGTTCAGTTTTGAAGTGTTTGAATTTGGGTAGAGAGGTTCATGGTTTTGGTATTAAGAATTGTATGGAAGATAACATGTTTGTGAATAGTGCACTGGTTGATATGTATGCTAGTTGTTCAAGTATCAAGCAAGCTGAGCAGGTGTTTCATAACATGGCCCAGCGTGCCCAGCGTGATATGGTGTCATGGAATGTGATGATATCAGCATATTTCTCAAATGGAAAATGTGAGGATGCACTTATTATTTTTGATCAGATGCTAAGTCGAGGGGTAAAGTTGAATTATGATTCCTGGAATGCTGTTATATGTGGATTTATGGATAATGGACAAACACAACAAGCACTGGAGTTATTCAGCAGAATGCAGCAATTAGGATTCAAACCAAACCAAATCACTATTACAAGTGTCTTACCTGCTTGCACACATTTGGAAAGCTTGAGGGGAGGAAAGGAGATTCATTCATATATCATTAGGCATTTGTTATATGAAGATCTAACAGCAACTACGGCTTTGATCTTTGTGTATGCCAAATGTGGTGACCTGGAGCTGTCCCGTAGAGTTTTCAGCATGATGCCAAAGAAAGATACTGTTGCTTGGAACACAATAATTATTGCAAACTCAATGCATGGAAGAGGAGAGAGAGCTTTATTTCACTTCAATGAAATGGTAAGCTCAGGGATTAAACCAAACTCTGTTACTTTTACAGGTGTTCTGTCTGGTTGCAGCCACTCAGGGCTGGTAGACGAGAGTCTCTCCATTTTTCATTCAATGAGTAAGAACCACAAAATTGAACCTGATGTGGAGCACTATTCGTGCATGGTTGACGTTCTAAGTCGTGGTGGTCGCTTAATGGAGGCATATCAGTTTATACAAGATATGCCCATTGAGCCCAGTGCTGCAGCTTGGGGAGCCTTGCTTGGAGCTTGTCGTATATACAAGAATGTGGACTTAGGACGAATTGCTGCAAGCCATCTATTTGCGGTTGAACCAAACAACCCAGGAAACTATGTTTTGTTTTCTAACATCCTTGTTACTGCCAAACTGTGGGGAGAAGCCTCAGAGATAAGGAAACTGATGAGAGACAGAGGAATAAAGAAATTGCCTGGTTGCAGTTGGATTCAAGTGAAGGACAGAGTACACACTTTTGTTGTTGGTGATAAAAAGAACGATCAGAGTGATCAAATTCATAAATTTTTGAATGAAATGCGCAAGAAGATGAAATTAGCTGGATACTTGCCTGATACTGAATTTGTTTTACAAGTTTTGGATGCAGAAGACCAGGAAGACAGTTTGTGCAATCACAGTGAGAAGCTTGCTGTTGCTTTCGGGATACTTAATTTGAACGGTGAGTCGTCTATTAGGGTGTTTAAGAACTTAAGAATATGTGGTGATTGTCATAACACCATCAAGTTCATAGCAAAAATTGTTGGGGTGCAAATCATTGTGAGAGATTCATTGAGGTTTCACCATTTTAAAGATGGCTTTTGTTCCTGTAAAGATTTCTGGTGACATCCACAATGCCATTCATTGGTTTTCAGCAATACCAATCAGAAAAATCAACTCGATCAAAGACAGACATTATTGCATTCTTAGGGGAGCTTTAAGCACTACAGCTACATTGTTCATAGCATTAAGACTTTTGTCCTTCCAAATATACATATCACAGCCCAAAAGCCTCGGTGAGAAACAGGCAGTGAGCTGTTCTTTCATTATTTCCTGCCATATGTATACATGAATTTGGTCAAGTTGCCGGTGATGGACACACACTGAAAGGTAGATTGACAAGTCTCTTATTAACCACTTTACATAGATTTTAGCTGCAACATGAATTTCTTTGTTCGCTACTAAAAGGTTTGTATTTCTTGAAGGATCGAGCTCACTCAACGAGGATCTTTCTCTTTGAAGGTTAACTGAAATCATTTTTCAGTCTTCAATCGGTTTTCTTTGCTGTCATCATTTTTTTACAGTGTTACAAAGAAGTTTCTGCTGTAAAACATTAAAACCGAAAATTAGCCAACAAAAACTGGCAACCATGATGGTAGTGATAATTTGGAACATTTCAAAGCAAATTATGGATAATGGCATAAATCTTGGCTAAATTGAACAAAGTACAATCTCACAGAGTTGACCTTTTAAGTTTTGTAAGTACATAATTTTTGTGTTCAAGCATATCATAAAATGACAAGTTATGATACAATCAGTCTCTTCAGAATATTGCTGGCTTGTTTGCTGAGGTAGATAACAACATTGGACGGTATCAACAAATAAGAAGAAGTTAAAAGTTTATCAATTATATTCATTCCAACCGTGCCAAATATGCCAGAAATGGATATCCTAACAATTTCTACAGCTAGTTCTGTTTATTGAAAATTTCTATCCTTGCAAGTGGTTTAATTTTTTGCACTAAGCTAATAAATTTGAGTAAGACCAGACAAGAGTATAATCTTTATTCAATTACATCTGTTTGGCAAAAATTTACCAATTCACTGACCTGTATGTTCTACCAACACTCCATAAAACCTCAATATTCATCGTCTTTGAGGACTTGTGATTTAGAACAAAAGGACCACATTAAACCAGCATTTTATCAATTGTCAAAACGTCAAGAGGTGTATTTTTTGCCAGTTTTGGGTTGTGTTAAGGAATTAATAGCATCAACAAGGTCAGCTGAAATTATTGATCTTAAATAATTTGTCTCTCTCAATTTTCTAATTTCTGTTGAGTCAACCAAGATTATGTACATGCAGGATAATTGTTTGGGTGCTTCTCAAATTACAAAATTCAAGCCAAGGATCAGTGCATATTGCTGGGCAAACCAGTTCCCTTGAATTTTTACATCTGTTCGTTGAAATCTATGCCGCAAGCGCACGGGTCGAGAACAAGTAGTAAACTGGACCTTTAGAGTCCAAGTCGATCCCACAGAGAGTGTTGAATTCAATTATAAGCTTATTTGTCTCAATCTAACGAAATTCACACACAGATTTAAAAACGAGATTTTAAAAGTTAAAAAATACAATTTTGATTTAAAACGTAAAATGACAAATAAAAGGTGAAAAGATTTTGATTTTAAAAAGATGTTGGAATTTATAATTTCACTTAACCTATACTTCATTAATGTCAATTCAATTACGTGCAAATGCAAATTATCAAAATAAGTAGTTAGACCCGATTTTCTTATTTTAAATTAATATCATCTTTCGAGTGATACTAGCCCTTATTAATTAATTCATACCCCATATTTCTATATTGATACAAAGTTAACTAATTGCATGAATTGTTGTGAAAATAACTCAAATGGTCACCTAGAGTAGGTGTATGTTTCTATATCACCTAAACGCGCAAAAGATATACTAATGCAAATCTAGGGTATCAATCATTTCGATCTAGTAAATGTAATTATTTTTCAACAATCACATAAACACCTAATTATAACATATATTGTCGTCACAAAAATGAAGTAATTTTAGTATGATGATTAATACACTAATATTTTGATAACATATGCATAACAATAATCATACAAAACATATCATGACATTAATGAAATATTAGGTTAAACTACTACATAAATTCCAACAAAATAACTTAGTTCCTCATCATAAAATGATAACAAAGGAGATTAATAATATTATACATGCCAAACTTTGGAAAAATAATGGAAGAACACAAAAGTTTGAAGATACAACCCTTTTTAATGTGGCTTTGAATCCCTCCAATAAATCTCCAAGCATTCTTTGTTAATATCTCCTTCTTGTTGTGGAATTTTCTCCCCAAAATGAACTAAGAACAAACAAAAGAAAGAAACAATGGAAAGGAGAAAAATGGAGAGGGGGACGTCCAAGAGGGAGAAGGAGAGAGATAATCTTTTTATTCTTCCACCAACTTGACTTGTATAGATATTATATTATAAAATATATCCGAGAGTGAGAATGAGAGAGATAATCTTTTTATTCTTCCTCTAACTTGACTTGTATAGATATTATATTATAAAATATATGTATATTTTGGATTAATTATAATTATAATATAGAATAGATATTTTAAGATATTTTGTCTCACAAAAATAAAAATCCTAAAATATCTAACAATATTTTAATCTTCATTACATTTACGCCCTCCATAAATTGCAATCAAAGTCCTTCAACTTTCTGACTTTGCATTTTAGTCCCCAACATCACAAATTTGTACATTTAAATCCCTTTTCTCCTCTTTTTGCTCCGTTCTTCTTTATATCGGGGTTTTGGCCTATAAAAGTAAAAATTACAGAATTATGTATAGAAATTTACTCAATTTTATCAATAATTAATTCCAAAAAAATGTCAAATAAGGGTGTAAAAACACAATTATCAACATCCTTGGACCCCAAAATCAGTACCAGATGGCTTATTTTTGGCAACACAAAAGTCATCTTTCATGTTGAAGATGAAGGCTTTCTTCACGTTCTCCTTCTCAAGCTCTTCTTTTTCTCCCCACCTTTGGCTGGCAATGCAACAACATTGTCACAAGAGAATAATACTATGTATCACCACTAGTATATTGACCATCTTCGTCTCCCCTACCTCGGCTGGCAATGCAACAACATCATCACAAGAGAATAATGCTATGTATCACTTGTATATTGATCACACTGCCATGTAAATCAATGATCGTCTAGACTTTAAATAAATAACATAAATTTTAATTTTAACTGTTTTCTTCAACCATCGCAAACATAGTATTTAAGATATAATAATGCTATGATCACCATTTCATGTCTCAGTGGACCTCCTTGTTCCTTGCTCAATACATTAAACAAGAATGCTATTTATACATATGTATTTATTAGAATTGTTTTACAAGTGTTGAAATGATAACATTTTGCAGGTTGATATCACTGTGTTTTATCTAAACGGTAGATAAAATGTTACCAACTCAGCACTTGTAAACAAATCCGTTTAATACATTTGTATAACATAATTCTACATTAAAATACATCATAATTTCTTGTGAAAATGATCTTTGATGCCACCTAAACAGTTTGATTATCAAAACCATTGAGTAATATTACTCGCTCCTGTTTTTTACGAATTAAAATTAAATTTTTATTATAATTTAATAAAAATTGATGAAACGTGTCATGAAATATGTGATTCTAATTAATTGATGACTTTAACTTTAAGTTAAAATTTAAATTTTAATCGATACCAAACTCGTACATAGATATTCCCTACTAGGGTTTGTTCTATCATCCCAAGTTAATTTTTTTTTCTTTTTCCCCCCCTTTTTTTTAATTTTTTTCCTTCGTTGATAACTATGGACGCCCACAGCACCATTTACAATTATCCGTTTTCATTCAATACAAATATTTTTTTATCCATTCCCTTTGGAAAATGTTAAGTGTACATTAGAAGGTATATAAGAGTGTCCATAATGGACACCTTTATGTATCCATTGATGTACTTGTAGCATGAGTCTTCCTAAAAATTTCTACTTGTTAAACTTTTTCGATTTCTTTGCATTACTTTACGCATTCAAGAATCCCCTCACTTCTTCCCTAATGATCCCCTTTCTCACCACTAACTGATCGGTAGACCTACCCATCTCGTTCAATGAACTAGTATTATTCTTAGATTTTCGCCCATCTTTAGCCATTAACGACACCCAGATTTAGCAAATTTGGACTTGAAAACATGATTATGACATTTTACCTAATGTTAATATTATTACTGGCATTTTAGATCGTTAAAATACGATGAGTGGCATTTTTCAATTATGACAGTATGATTTACTTTTTAAATAATTAAACCAATAAACAAACATGAACAAAATAAAACTATATTTATTTTGCCTGTTTAAGCCTCTTCAGGAAAAATTCTAAAACAAATTCTTTGACGAAAATCCATCAAAAACTGTGAAAGATGATAGGGCATTCAGAATGAGTAGGAGGTCGTAATAATTCAATCAACAAAAATTCAGAATTATTTACTTTCATCGTCATTATGCCTCATCATCCTTTTTCAGATAAAATTCAAGAAATCGATTTTAATAAAATAAACAAAGGAGATGAAAGGATTCCTCTCAGACAAATGCCTCGATATGTCGTCACGATTTAAGTCGAATGGATTTCGATCGGACTCGTCATCGTAATTTATTCATCACTGAGAAATCCAAAACAAAATAATTCTATAAAAATAACAGAGAAATTATGAAAATTTTCAAACCAAAGAAAAACAGATTAGAGATGAAGTGATAGAGAAATAAGAGTACCTATTGAGTTGTACTTATAATGGCTTCAGCCTCCATCTGCAAGTTTGCTTTAGGGTTAGGGTTTCGTCTGTTGTAAAATTGTTTAAATGACTAATTTGCCACTTAAACCCGACCCCATTTTTGTTGTATTCGGAGTTTGACAACAGCTTGGGCTGGGCTTCTACTACCAGCTATTGAGTAAAAAGTTCGATGTTAAGAATGAAGGAAAGAGGGCAAATTACACAAATGCACTAAAAAATATAGGACTTTAGAAAGAAAAAAAAATAATAAAAAGGAATTAACAATATAAATACTGTTAAAACATAATTAAAAATCGTATTAATTACGACATATAAAAATTCAACTTTGGATCAATTAGAGAAATGCATACAAGATATTTGTGAAACGTAAACATGAATATGAATTAAGGCTTTGCATTAGAAAGTTCATCATGTGCTACTTTTTTCAGTTGGCTTCCTAATTTTTTTTTTCTGCACCAGTCATATCAAACTTAATACTAATAAAATTTTGGGGATGGTTATTAACATGAACATGAAGGAAAATATATTGACTATAACTCAAGAAACATACTTAAATAAAGTTATAATCAATTTTGGCATGAAAGAAGCTAAGCCGGTTAATATTCCCCTTACTATCCACATAAACCTCTCTTCCACCCAATGTCCTAAAACTGAATCTAAAATTAAAGATATGAAGAACATTCCATATGCTAATGCCATATGGTCTGTCATGTTTTCTATGGTTACAACTAGGCCTGATTTGGTATATTCTATCAGTTTTATGAGTAGGTTTATGGCTAATCCGAAGAAACCTCATTGGGCTGGGTTAAAGTTTGAGATATATGGCTGGAACACTTAGAGTAGGTTTGATGTTTAAAAACAGAATTGATCCATTAACATCGAAAGGGTATGTAGACTTTGATTTCCCTGAGGACAAAGACCAAAGAAAGTCTATTATTGCATATTTATTTACACTAGGTGATAATTATATTACTTGGAAGTCACAACTTCAACCTATTGTCACATTATCCAGTACAGATGCTGAATATGTGGTAATTGTTGAATCTGTAAAAGAATGTATCTGGTTAAAGGAAATTTTGGGAGAATTGAATTTTTTACACAAGACCCCTACAATTTTCACTGATAGTCAAAGTGCTTTACTATTCTGCAAAAATCTTGTTTATCATGAAAGATCCAAGCATATTGAGGTGAAGTACCATTTTATACGTTAGAAAATTGCATGTGGTGAGATTATTCTTGAAAAAATTTATACTGATATAAATCTATTTGATATGGGAACCAAAATTCCGTCTGTGAATAAGTTTAGATCTTGTTTATCTTTATTGCATATTGATACTGGTTAATCTTTTGCAGGTACTTGGGTGATGATGTAGGGTAAAATACCATCACATGCATTATAGCAACTAAAAAGAGTGAGTGGTTTCAGAACCAATGTGAAGATTGTGAGTTGTGGTTCTAAAACCCGTTTTTGGAAGTGAAAATACGTTTTTACTTGGTCTGTCAACTTGGCGTGATTTTATTGGCCCATTGACCTTCACCCAGATCTGTTTTTCTTTGAAACTTACTTGGACCGTTGGATTTGATCTATGGCTTAAGGTTAATGCATATATTTCGTCTATGGCTACTGTACCGTCACTTTTTGGGGCCTTCTGTTTTCACATGGTTTCATTCTCTCTTAGTGAGGCATTTCTCAGTGATTTTTCGAAGGTTTCCATTCGAATCTTGGAGTTGTATTAATCTGCTGTTTTTGTATAGTAAATCAGAACTGAGCCTTGGTTATTGAGTGTAATTTTGTATCGTGTTAAGTGTTTTAGGTTTAATTTCGAATTTCATTTGAACTCAAAGTTACACTGGTAAACCTGCACCTGTTTGTGGTTGTGAGGTTGTTGATTTGTGTAGTGTAGATTGATTTGGGAGATCCGGTAGTGGATCGATGACCGTGTGTAGAGTTACGATCTGAGTCTTGGTTTGTACTGATTATCCCACTCTTTCTTGAAAGGTTCTTGCATAGTGACATGCTCTATTTATCTCTGAGCCCTCCAGATTAGGCTTTGTCGAACTGGATAAACAATTTGGTGTTATTTTTCATTCATGCAGTGTGTGTTCTGGGTTGTTAATTTCTGTCTGTGGGGTATTTGGGTGAAATAATCCCAACACTTGTGTGAATAAATCAAACTTTTTCATTGAAGTTTCTTTTGCTGTAGTGGCTTGGACATCTCGTGCATTACGAAAATCGGTGAGTGGAGGAAGTGTCTAGACGAGTTCACGGAAGTTGAGGATGGCGTAGCTTCCTTTAATGATGAAGATGGAGAATATGATGAGGAGGAAGTGGAAGTGGAAGTGGAAGTGGAAGTGGAAGTTGAAGGTGACATATATCTTGAAGAAACAAGGTTTGATTTATGCCTCTCGATGGTGGTTTTAGACTAAAAGGAGACAATGGTGGTGAAATATATTTTTCTTTTTTTCTTTTTAGTCATTTTAATTGGAACTCATTTGCATTTTTTTAAAAATTTAAGATAATGATGAAATTAATTCTTTATTATTTTTTTCTTTTTTATGTATTTAAAGAGGATGATAAATTCATCGTTTCACATGCTTTTAGTGGAGAAAATTGACGAAAATGTCGTATTTTATAAAGTTTGGATCATCTATGGTGGTTTTGCGCCAAAATGAAAGGTTGGAGGATATTTCACAAAACAAGTATATGTTAGGTGATATTTTCTAATTGCCCTTTAAAATTTACTCTATCAATTAAAACAAAATAATTTACTTATTTTCAATGTTGACAAGTTATCTTTTATGACATGCTTGGGAGTTCTAGGGTACATGTTATGTGCTTTTTGAAATAATCGATTTTGGACGATAATAAGAGATCCGATATTAAGTGATTTTTAGTAGGGATTTTTAAAATATCACAGTCCATACTTGGGAATTTATTATTTAGCGTTTTGAAATTTTTTTAAAAGAACAAAATAACATATATGTCCTTCAGTGAACTTTTCAATTTGTTATTTCTTTTATGATATTTTTTTTACTCATATACATATAAGTTATTTTTTAATTTAAAAAGTGAAACATTTATTCATAATTAAAATTTTTAGTTATGACTAATTTTTAACTTATAAGTAAATTTTATAGTTATAAGTAAATTTTATACATTTAAACAATATTTTACACATAAGTTATTTTTTACTTATAAGTAATTTTTTATACTTTATGAGTGAATTTTTGTCTTATTGGTAGTATATTACTTTATAAACACATTTTTACACAAAATGTATTCTTATGATCTTATTTGGGAAGTAATTTTTTACTTATAAATAATTTTTTTAGTTATAAAGTAATTTATTTGCCTATAAATATTTTTTTACAAATTAGTTTTGAACAAAATATGTGAACAGAAAATAATTATTTTATATAAGGTAAATGGAAGAAAATTTAAGAAAAGGTCAAGACTCACCAATTTGGTTGGTTGATAAATACCATCAACATTACACTATACTAATTTTTCTAACCTCTAATAAACAGTGCAATCCAAAAACTGTGACAATGCCCTAAAAAACTAATTAGTATGATTTTTCAACATCTCCAAAACGGTGCCACCCAAAAACGATGAAAAAATAACTCCCAAGCGGATCCTAAAGTTTAGAGCATCTTCAAAAAGCTCTTTAAAATAAAACGATCTCTATTTTAAAGAGTCAGCTCTTAAAAATAAAATTATGCTCCAAGAAACTCTTCAAAAAATGCATTTAAAATATTACAATCTGCAATGTGTGTTTACTCAACTAAATAGCACTGCCTCCATATTATAAAGATAGACTTTTTAAAGAAAATGTAATTAATATAGTTAGAAATATAATTTTTTATTTTACAATTTTCCTAATATAGACCTACATTACTTAATGGTTTGAATATGATTAATTTATATTTGTTGATAATAAAGTATATTAATTATGGACACATTAGAAAATTAAAAAATATTTATACTTTCGAAAGTAACTTATAATTTGAGACAGACAAAAAAAAAAAAAAAGGAATCAAGCATATCAAGGTAGTATATACAATGAAAATGGAGGAAAATTAAAATTAAGTGTTAAAAGAGAAAGAGGTTGTTGGAAAATTAAAAAAAAAATTAATCTCTAAATTTGTAGTTTCTTTCTAAATTAAAAAACATGTTCTTTAAAAATGTAAGGTGATGTGGAGATGATCTTAGTACAACAAATAAATTCTTTAAAAGCAACTCTACACCGCTAAGTTTGTTATCAAAATTAATAGTAGCAACGGGCAACAAATAGAAAAGCGTAGATTTGGACAAGTTGTAAAAATGTAGTTGTATGTATCAAATTCGTTAGATTATTGTTCAGTGGAAAGTTGAAATGAAAATGAAATATTGAATAGAATAACAAAATTATGATTCAAGATTTGATATTTATAAAATCTATTTTTCTTCAATTTAATTTTATATAATTGTTTTATCCCGTTATAAGAGCTTTCAAACATTCAAATGTTACTTTGTATGAGATGAAAGTCTCATGTTTGGAATTCTCCTTTTCTCTTAAAGTTCTTGTAAAAAAACAGAAGCAAAAACCCGCCAAACATAATATATATATACACAACTAAAGTCTCTCTCAAATTATTACGGTAAAAAAATACTCAGAAAATATGCATGGTGATGAAATCTCTTATATGAAGCGTCAAAGAAAGGTTTGAAAGTCAATTACAGAAGCATGTTGGTTTTAATATATGTAGGCGTTGCTGATTGCAAAAGAATAACTTCAAGAAACATTTTGTGTACTCACAACATTCGTGTCTGTACTGTATACATAAACTAATTGAAAGAAATAGTTCCATAGTCATTGAACTACATTACCCAATAAGCTATTTGTTGATGGTGATGAACTTTGTTCACTCAGCCAAGCATCCTGAACAGAAACCGGAGAACTTTCGTTTTCCACCGTTATAGCCAGATCAACGCCTGCCTTCTGCGGAACAACCAATCTCTGACTTCCTACACCTGCGTTCTTATCAGTTGCATTTACTATTAGCTCACTTCCATTGTGCAGTGATGAGCACATGGATGCTACTGATGATCCCGTACGTACACTCTCATCAAGAGGTGCCCAACTGCTGATCCTGATCTGTTCTAGCTCGTCTGCTACTTCCGTCATTGAGGGTCTCATGTCACGGTGAAATGCAAGACATCTAAAAGCCAGCTCTGCCACTTTGTGAATGGATGAAAGTGTCCATGCGTCTCTGTTCGGCTCCAGGAATGGATCTATTATCTCATCAATACGACCTTTCCCTATCCTATCAATTGCAAGTGCAGCCAAGTTAATTTCGCTGTGAGGTCGAGAAAAGTTGACTGCTTTCATTGCCGTAATGATTTCTGCAAGAACAACCCCGAAACTATAAACATCACTTTTGTCTGAAAGATAGAAGTTCTGATGGTACTGAGGATCAACATAGCCAGGAGTTCCCTGCGGTGCTGTGGAAACATGGGAATCATCAGTCATGCCAAATCTAGAAAGACCAAAGTCAGCCACTTTTGCGTTGAAATTGAAATCTAGAAGTATATTACTAGATTTAATATCTCTGTGGTATATTGGAGGATTCATTGCTGAATGAAGGTGAGCAATTGCATGAGCCGTTTCTGCAGCAATGTTCAGACGAATATCCCATGACAATACTGAACCCCTTTCTCTTTGAAGATGCTGCGATAGAGTTCCATTTGGCATATATTCATAAACTAGAATCTCTTCACCATTCTCAATACAGCAACCTAAAAGGCGGACTAAATTTGGGTGACTCAGAGAGGACAGAAGCTTGATTTCATTCATTACTTGTTCAATGCTGTTGTGATCTTGATGTCTCATTCTCTTAATTGCTACCCACTCATGATCGTGGAGCTTTCCTGCATAAACAGTGCCATAGGCACCCGTTCCCAGCCTTTGTTTTTCAGAAAAGACGTTTGTAGCTCGCTCAATTTCTTTATAATTATAGAGGGGTACACTGGAGTTCCCTGCTGCCTCACTGAGCAGTTGCCTTGCACTCAAACGGCTCTTCAGAGACACAGAACGTTTCTGTATGCAGTGGCATACGAAACCTGCAGCAGCCACCAAAGAAGCTCCAGCTATAATCCCTGTAAATTGAACAGAATAGACAATGCTGTTATATTAGAAAGAATATAGTTTCTTATCATCCTTAAGAGGGAAGAGAGTTATACGCATATATTAAGAACATGGCACTAAATATGCCGAAGCACACATAAGCCCTCAAATGGGATATTTAATTTAAGTCGAGTAAAGGTTCTTTAATTATGTTTAAGCACAACCAAGGACACTCTAACCACATAATGGATCCAACACTTGCATCATCTGCCTATAGCTGTGTTGAGACAAGCATGAGAATTAATTTAATTATCTAAGTGAGGTTGATATGTAAATGTAGTTGCAGAAAAAAGTACTGAAGAAACTGCAATATACAGAAATCCTCATTCGAGCATTGGCAGGAAAAATGGCACTGGGAAAATTGAGAGGAAAACAAAGCTTGCACCTAAACCAGAATCATAAGGCAAATGTTGAAATCTTTCAGATCATTAATATAATTGATGACACTATAGCAAGAAAAAATAACTCAAGCAACAGCATCGTCAAATTTCATGTCACAATTTTAGCATGCTTAGGAGTTTAAAACTGATCCAAGGACAGAGTCATGCAATTTCAAAATGGCTCAAGAAATAGGCAGCAAGAAGAAAAAAACAGAATAGCTGCAAGATAAAGTGAGGAGTATACACCTATAGAATTTTGACATTGTAAAGAAGCATGACTTGAAGTGACGAACATATATTTCTAGAAAGAGAAACCGAAAGAACTCAGTTGAAAAAAGTACCTCCAATGAGAAAGCCTACTCTGGTTCCACCGTGTACAGACAAATGATTTGAATCAGAAACTGGTACATGGCAACAACAGACAACAGAAGAAATTAGCACAACGAAAATAAATGTATTTTGGAAGTTAGAGCAAGCATGAAGTAGTAATGCAGTCTTAAGAGTGCCTTTATTGCATGTCACAGGCATCATATATATGGAATTAAATGCAACAGAATCCAGGTTCTATCTCCGGTTGTTTGTCGACGCTCAAATGGGTATGCAGCTGAAGATGAATAAAATGGTAATATACAATTTTTCCACATGCTTGCCGTAGGAAAATAACACACTCAGTCAACTATTAGACAGACTCGATAATAATTCAAAATGGTCATAAAAAGTACTCGAGACAGATTTCTCAAGCTTTCTTTTCCCACAGTTGCATGTTTCAAGGATTTGGCTCATCTTCATAAAGTTACGTATGGTACGCTATGAAGCATAAGTGTTTAAATAACTTAGTTCCAGACACATAAATTCATCAAAATAGAAAGGATTGTCGTGCAGTACATAAATGAAACAATCGCAATATGACCTAACACTTCAGGAAATATCTCAAGCCAAGTTTCCAGGTTACAACAGATGGCTCGATCTAATGCTTGTGTCGGTTATAGTTAAGTTGAGACCAGAACATGCAAATATTCTGTAATCCCGGTTGTGCTACATGTACATAGTAGTTTACATACACATCATCTGGTGAGATATGATTAGATCAGAATTTTTTCAACCAAAAACTTCCCCTCTCTCTCTGACACCTCATATATGAATCATTATGTAACTCCTTATTTACAAGTGACATTATTCCTACAATCCACGTCTTCTCTTTCCTCTAACTTTTGCATATTTAGTCCTTGTTTGATCGCCATTTTTTTAAAATACATTTCACTCTATCCTCTTTTCAATCCCATATTTTTCAATAAAATAATGTAACACGCAACCCAAAAACTTTTCTTTCATTTTTAACGACACATTCTCCATCAATCTAATATTCTAAAATGCAATCTATACCAAAAATGGGGCTCAAACAGGTCCTTAATATCGTAACTTTTCAAAATTCTAAATGTTACAAGTTTGAATGGTTTGAGATTATCCAATGACCAAGTTGCAACCCAAAGAAGGCCAAACGTAGCTTGTAAATTATATTTAAGGACAAAGACATCATCAATAGGGCCAAAGTCAAACTCCTTTTCCTTTATATTATTTTAGGTCAAGATTTCATATTTAAATCCCATATGAGTGTACAGCTGTGCTTGAATAAGTCGGTCGATGTTTACCAAAGTTAACTATGGAAATTCAAGGAAGGAAGCTGAAGAATAGTCACCTCACCAATCACTCGCCAGAATATTTAAAACCAAGTCTATCTTAATACTATATTTTGGTTTTCCCATTTCATCACTCTTTTCATCCACTGTAGATTAAATTATTGTTCAAGTTTATGATCAAGATGAAGTTTAACAGATCAAACATTCAACATCCAATATGGCATTTATGTACATTCCACAAAATGTACACCCTATCCCAATTCTAATAGCTTAAACTTGACACCTTGCCAAAGTCAACATGCAATTAGGCCATCGTTTCAATACATCCAAGACCATATCAAAAGATCTCTTAAAACATCCAAAATTAAATTATTCAACTAAAATTAATTCCCAGAAAATAAGGATTTACCTATCTTGCAACCTTCACCTCTGAAAAAACCGTCTCCAGCATATCCTTTTCGACACTTGCAACGAAACCCGGTCCCATTAACAGTTTTACAGTCAGCATTTGGATCACAATGGCAGCCGCCCAGCAGCCACCACTCGAGCTCCACCTTCTGCGCCTGCAGCTCCAGCGATGTAAAGGGGTTCTCAGTTACATTACTACCAGTATTATTGCCATTCTGATTCCAATCCACCATGATCGACGAAAAAAGAACCCTGCAATGACCCCTGCTTCTAATATTTTCATAGTTCAAGAACGACACATAACTATCATTTGCCTCTGCATAATAACTAATATTGTGATTACTACTGTTTCTATCCCCAAAAACGCAACTATCAAACTTGAAAAAGGAATTAAGCATGTTAACGGGAATGGTAAAATCGTTGATCGGCGGGCTGCAGTTCCGTAGCAGAAGCCCATTTCGTCCAGTAACCGCAAAGTTTGTACCAAATAGTGGATGGAGTGCATCAATCGAACGGTCGCATTTCCCCGGAAGACTAACCAAAATACGATCCGACGTTAAATCCTTGACCTGAAAATCGCCTATATGGATATTTCCATTGTTCTCACTACAATTTAACTTGATGTCGCAACCGTCAGAAAATCCAAATGGGTATGGCACTCTGTTTTTCACTTTTCCACAAGATCGATTACACTTATTTGCTTCTGCAGCAGATGAAAGGACAAAAAAGAAAACTATCCAGGTGAATATTTGGCTAGAAATCATTGTATTTGTGGCTTGTGGGTGGAATAGAATGATGCTAAAAAATCATAAGCTGCTGCTAGAAAATAACTAGAAAGAAGGGATTGATCAATAACAATTAACAAAAAAAATTCCACAAAATAATGATGATGATGATGACGACGATGATGATAAGTTTGACTTGAAGAAGAATATTAAATGAAGAATTAAAGGCGCGTAATAGATGCTGGTAGGAGGTAATGTAATGAAGTAAATGCAGTTTTCCATTAAGTGCTGGGTAATCGTTCGGTCGCTTCTACCATGGTAATTGGAAAGTTCTATGCTATACTCTTGCGCTGCTGCCTGCGAATTTTGCGTTTGAAAATGGAGAGAATTCATAATTTTGATTTTAAAAAGAAGGAGAGAGAAAGGTATTACGCGCATTGGATAACATATGTTTCTAGAATATAGTTAGGCACGTTTATGGTTTTTGCCTTTTCTTTTGACTGTATAAAAAAAAATGAAAAATGATATTCATTACCAATGGAAATGTATCCCCAATCTATGTGAATGTAAATGATTGGTTAAATGATAAGTGAAATTAAATGACTTATTTAATTTCACCTATCTTTAATGACATATTAACGGCACATAAACTGGGGATGATGAATAACATTTCTCAAAAAAATTACCTAAATTTTTGTTTACTAATTTTAAAAGTATTTCATACTTCAAAAATGATTTTAGAGAAAGACACGTTAAATCAGCTCCCTTTATATACTCTTTTAACTATTGAAAGTACTTTTATAAAATTAGTCAAACAAGTCCAAAAATAACTTTTAAGTCTTAAAATATCATTTTGACTTTTCAAAAGTCATGTCAAACGAGCCGTTAATTTTACGAGAAGTGATCATTCTAGATTAATTGTATTTTTTTTAAAATTTCGGTTAGACTGAATGGTTTAATTGAAACATCTACGAACTAGATAGTAAAACAATCCAAGTTAGTTAGGCGAATTGGATTATAGTGAAGATGAAATTGTAAAATGTGAACCCTATACAACATAGTTTGAAAAACGAGACTTGATCGGCCCCTCAAATTAAAAAAACATTTAACAAATAATTTGGATGGCCATTGATACCAACAAATTAGAGAATCTATAATGAATGTAGCGTCAAGGGCACCACGACTATATGAAGCCATCTTCCATCATCTATCTAACTGCAACTACACCCATCGAGAATTAACAATTGAGTAAGATAGGGGATGTGTTTCCCTCATCCTCTCGACCCACATGGTAAGAACACGTTCATGTCATTCGGTGATGATCGGCTAGGGGTAGGTCGCCAAATAGCAAGATGAATGACTCATCTAATGATGGCCGCTAACATCTTGAAGAGATCCAAACAACTTATCTAATCTTCACATTCGCATGATTTCCACTAGATATGAATATAATTTGTTGTTACTTTAGTAATTCAATATACTCTCATCATGCTTTTCCCTTCATAAGAGCTGTTAACTGATCGTGACACTAGAGAGGGGACCCAAACCGCGATGCCCGCCCTTTCGTTTTGCAGGACATTGTTGATTGATCAAGTGCACTCATCAAGGCACACGAAATCGACTAGTATCAGCCGTTTACAAAAATCGGTGAACCATTTAAGCGGATAATAACTGTGCTTCATAGTGTGAAAAAAATTAAGATTGTGTTTTGAATTATCTAATCTCTTGTACAACTTATTAATTACCCTTGATATTGTTTAAATTGAAACTGGAACATATTTATGGTCCGTTTGACAGAGTTTCTTATTCGACTTTTGCTTTTTGTAAAACAGTTTTTAGGGAAATCCTTCTTAATTTTTATTTGAAAATTAATTTTAAAAAGTACTTTCGGAATCGAGAGTGCTTTTAGAGGGAGAAATATGGAATCAGTTTTCTCTAAAAACTCTTCTAATTATCAAAAGTATTTTCATAAAATTAGTCAAATGGATTCAAAACCTCATTTGACTTTTCAAAAGTCATGTCAAACGAGTTCTTAATTAGTTTAAATCTAAGTATATTGCCTTGAAATGAGAGGGTTAATCATCGTCGTTTTAAGAGATTACTTTGCCAAATTTAGAAGTCTCTGGAAATTCAATATCGGTAAAAACATTTACTACTTTGCTTATGTAGGACTACAAAGTAATAAACATTCTAATTGGGCAAGATCAATATCGACGGCTCATTTATCTGTGATAATTCAACTCTTTTTGGAAAACATTAATTTTATTTATTTAATTAATATTCTTTTTTTTTTTTTATCATAGTAATAAATACTAAAAAGTGTCAACATTAGTATATATTCATTCCAAAATACTACGCAAATATGAACCAAAAAGAAAAAAAGAGGGCAATCTACAATTTCACTTTTATGTTAATTGGAAATACTAAATGCAAAAAAATCCCTATTTTGCAGAAATTTTAATCTAAATCAAAGTCAAAGTCAAAGTCAAAGTCAACAATTAATTTTAATTACACATTTTATGAGATCCAAAATTTTTTCATTATTTTAATTAAAATTTATTAAAAATCTGATTTTAATCACCATTAAACAGAAAATAAGTGTGCCCAGTTTGAATTTGGTACTCAAGGCGGACTTGTTGGGTTCACAAGAAAAATGATAGAATTGTTTGACTAAAGAAAAATCAATGTGTTAGACAGCAACGCACCGGTCCACTCCACAGCCGTGACGCTAAAGCCATGTTCAAGACTTTTGGTGGCGGTCCACCGTGCCAGATTTATTCTACACGCCTCGTGTTGGTTTGAAAGACTCGTAATTTTGTTAATAAGTATTTTCCGGTTTGTATTCATGGCGGTTTTTGTTAATTGTTTTAATTTAAATTAGCAGTATTTTAGGAATGCTTCATTTTTCAATTTGCTCTGGAGCGAATGTAAGTTTCAAAAAAGGCGTTTGCTCTGATACGAACATGTTATATAATTTGTTACATTTATTAAAGTTTTCGAGTTTGTATCTATGGGCGTGAGACATTGTTTGAAGAGCATGACACGTAATTAAGAAGAATAAAAACAATAACCTTCTTCTTCTCGTCCCTCACCATATTGTATCTTCATCTTCAATACAATTCTTGTATAGACAGAATATAACCTATGTGATAATTTTTTTTTTCTTCTATGTAATCTACTTACGGAAAAAGTATTTTTTTGGTCAAGATATTGATATATAAACTTGCTCATCTTCTTCAATGTTTTCTCTTCGATTCAATACGATTTAATCCAATTAGTCAATTATATTTTTAACAATATTAGAGAACAGTGGAGAATGAGCTGCATTAAATAAATAAATAAAAGCCGCAATATTTGAACATTGGAAGTGGGTTAGATACCCAACATGGTGCGTAGCTCATCGAAATTTGACAAATGCTATTATTTTTTCCCATACTGCGGTTGTTTGAAACTTTGAATTGTGACTACAAGTTTATTATATTCCATTCAGTGTTGCTTGTACCTCAACAACACATATCTCTTCTAATCGTTCACCATGTTTACTAGACTGATCACTAACTCATGTCTAATCGATAAACCACCATAGATCATAAATTTATGGGATAATCCTCTATCTCTATCTTACTTTTCTCAACCTAAGTTAATAATTGATATCCACTTAATAGAAGTGATACAAGTGTGATTCTCACACTTCACATGATTATGATCTTAACAAATAAAGGATTCCAACATTTAATCACATCTCTACTTGTGATCCAAATGTGATCTCTCCACATCCTCTGTACAAATTATCAATGTGACCTCATGCATCTATACTCTAAATTACCAAAAGATATACTGCACACTTACTGCTCAAATCTACAACGGCAAAATCGACACATTTGACGACCACAAAGGTTATGGCTTAATTTAAATCGACTCACACACCATAAGATTACTCCATCACCAAAACTCAAAAAGTCCACAAAGGATTTATCCCAGAAGATAAGGGTGAATGTAGCACTCACAAAAAAAAAAAAAAAAANGAGCATGCCACAGATTTCACATCACTATGCATGCAAATACAATACACAAAACTCTCAATTCATACAATGACACACATCAAACAGATGGAGAGTGTAACATATAACATTGCAACAGAATTAAGCGATCATACATATAGAAATGATTACACACAGATGCATGTACAGTAACTAGATGTACTTTCAATAAACCTCACACGGGTAATAACTAGACTCAGTGGTAACATTCGCCTCACATCTCTCATCTCATTTCCTTTTATTATCTTTCTTATGACAGTTTCTTTCAACATGTCCAAAAAATTATCGTAAAACACTTCTTACTTTTCGTACTTGCCTTTAGACCTACTTTTGCCATCAATACTGCATAATGATCATAAACAAAGTAAAGACACAATTCACATAGAATAGTCAAACAAATTTTCATAAGGTCACATGGAATTCTAACAATGTTAAAAAAAATTGTCAACAAATTCACAAAGAATTTAAGGCAAATAATTCCTAGGTCTAGCAACAGGCAATTTTTACCTCACATGGTAACCTTGAAATAATGTCACCCTACACGATAACTTCTAATATGAAAAATAAATGGTTACTCACACGATAGCCATAACTGCAATAATAAAAGGAAAGAACACGATATCGAGAAGGTCCGTAAATAAGGAGAGATGTGAATTTTCCAACTTTAAAGCAACTGCTATTTGCCCTAAAACTTTCAACAACTGCGGCAACCAATAAACGACACTTGAACGTCCAAGGGGAAATTGTCTGATTCCACTTTATTGCTAAAAACTAAAAATGGACACCATCGTAAGGTTCGCCTCGTTGTGGAAGAAAACTGTCTAAAGAAACCACCTCGAGGCTCGTACCAAAAAGGACGTTCAGCGAACGAAAAGTGGAAAGTAGGGGTATAAATGCCAAGAAATGAAAGGCATGGACGGTTTTCGAAATCCACCCTAAAGGTAGGGACGTTTTGTTCTAATTAGCCATATATTTTTTTTATCAAAGATTTAATGTGTG